CCCCCATCGATGGGCTCGGGGGATTTCTCGAAAAATTAGAACAACTAAAGAACGCTTCTTTAATATATTTCAAGAAACAATGTATACAATGCTTGAAAAATTTAGGGTAGAAACGACGTAGCTGTTCTATGTTCCAAGCATTGGTGAGGATTTCGCCCTTCTTGTTGGCTAGCTTGTAGGTCCCGGGCTTTAGCACTTGGGCGACGATGTATGACCCTTCCCATGGTGGGGTCAGCTTGTGGCAGCCCTTGTTGCTCTGCCTCAGTCTCAGCACCAGGTCGCCCACCTTCAGGTTTCGGCTTCGAATGCACCGGGCTTGATAGCATCGTAGGGCTTGCTGGTACTTGGCCGAATGTAGCAGCGCAACGTCTCGGGCTTCCTCCAGTTGGTCGAGGGCGTCCTCGCGGGCAGTGCGGTTGCTTTGCTCGTTGTAGGCCTGTAGCCTTGGGGAACCGTACTCCAAGTCAGTGGGGAGGATGGCCTTGGCTCCATAGACTAGGAAAAACGGTGTGAACCCCGTGGCTCGGCTCGGAGTGTTCCTCAGGCTCCAGATGACCGACGGGAGTTCAGCAAGCCATTTCTTGCCAAATTTCTTGAACCGGTTGTATATTCTTGGCTTGAGGCCCTGTAGGATCATGCCATTGGCACGTTCTACTTGGCCGTTTGTCCTAGGGTGTCCTACGGCTGACCAGACCACACGGATGTGGTGGTCGTCGCAGAACGTCAGAAACTTGTGGCCGGTGAATTGTGTCCCATTGTCAGTGATGATGGTGTTTGGAACCCCGAACCTGTGGATGATATCAGTGAAGAACAACACTGCTTGCTCGGATTTGATTCGGGTGATCGGACGAGCCTCGATCCACTTGGAGAACTTGTCAATAGCTACCAACAAGTGGGTGTAGCCCCCGGGGGCTTTCTGCAGAGGCCCAACCATGTCCAGCCCCCACACGGCGAACGGCCACGTGATGGGGATGGTTTGGAGGGCTTGGACCGGGAGGTGCGTCTGTCGTGCATAGTACTGGCATCCCTCGCAGGAGCGCACTAGCTTAGTGGCATCAGCCACCGCCATTGGACAGTAGAATCCCTAGCAAAAGGCGTTTCCGATGAGCGTTCGAGGCGCTGCATGGTGCCCGTAGGCTCCTACGTGCAAGTCCCAAAGCAGGGCTTGGCCTACTTCGGTGGTGATGCACCGCTGGAGGACACCAGATGGGCTTCGCCTGTATAACTTGCCGTTGCTGACGTTCTGCCATCCGGAGAAGTCCACTCTGGCCCACGCCTCATCCTCCTCCGAGGAGTCAGCGTGGGTGTGGGTCGAGGTTGTGGTGAAGAGGTCGAGGGCGAAGCGTTGGTGGCGTCCTGAGGGCTCCGCGTGAGCAGAAGCGTAGGCGGCGACGACATTGCTCAACCCGAAGAGGTACGGGGATGGTGCCATCACCGGGTTCCGCTCCGTCGGAGTCGATTCCTCAGGAGGTGGTGGGGCAGAGCTTGATGACGGGGTGTTGCTACGCACCACCGACGTCTTTCCCTTGCCCAGGCTTAAGCTGGACAGGTCCCCAACCAGGGACTCTGTACCAACAGCCGAGTGTGGGATACTGGCGGAGCGCGGTGCGTCGCCCTGAGCTCGTGGGGTGTTAGGGTGGTCCCGCCCGCGTCGTACCTGGCGAGCATGACGCGAGCGGCGGCCCAGGCACCGTCTACGCCTGGGCTGCTGGCACGTAATGTCGTCGTCGGTCGGTGGGGCTCTGAGTGTGAGGAGTACCATATCGTACTCATATCCTAGAGACATGAACTGTAGGCTCCTGAACCAGATCACCGTGCCGAGACGCAGTGGTCGTACGGGGTCTGCCATCCGGAACTTGTTGGGATGATTAAGCTAACACGTAGTATGTCCCCCTACCTGGCGCGCCAACTGTCGGTGTTTTGGACCGGCGGATCCTCAACCAACGAGTGAAAATGTACTGCGTGTCCCTAATCCCGGATGGTGATGCAAAGAGACACAAGGTTTATACTGGTTCAGGCAATAGGTGCCCTACGTCTAGTTTGAGAGAGCGATCTTGTATTCCTTGCACCGAGGTGCTCGTAGTAGGGGTTTACAAGCAGGGCGAGAGAGGGAGTTAGTCCCAGGTCTCTGCGTGGAGCAACGTGGGTTGCTTGAGATGTTGATCTCTTGCGGTGAGGGAGCGTGCGTATTACAGAGTGCTGCTCGTTGCTTGCGTGTGTGTCTATCTGAGCGATGTCTCCATGAGTGTGTTGGGTGTGTGCTCGTCCTCCCTAGGAGCGGCCCCGGTTACTCCCTTTTATAGTCGAAGGAGGCACAGGGGTGGTACATGTGTTTGCTACGTGGTACTCTTTTTGGCAGAGGCGACATGTCCGAGCCCTATAGCTTGTCACTGTGGTGGCATGGTCGATGGAGCGGTCTTGTCCTCGGTGCACTGGAGTGACGCGCCGGTCACGCCCGATCCCGTGCGACGTGGGAGCTCCTGTGGTGGTAGGCGCGCCTTCTCCTGTTGGAGGCGAGCTGGTTACTATATGTTTGACCGGCGCGGAGTGCCGAGGCCAGGTTGATGCGATGGCGCGAGTACGTTGATTCTGAGGCTACAAGAGCTAGGCCTTGTGCGCGACGTGGGGGCTCCTGCAGCCTGACGCAGGGTATGGCGCGTTCTGCGGACGACGTGCCGGTGCCAGAGTGCTGACAACGTAGAGAGCCGAGGCCCAGTCGATGAAGAGGCTGGGCCATCGTGGGGGGCTCGGCGGGCGCGAGTCCCGAGGCTACAGGAGCCCGGAAGCGGATAGCCGAGGCTCGGAGGGAGCAGTTGGTCTTTTATGCTGATTTTGAGGCTACAGGGGCCCGGACATGACTCTCCACGCCGCACTGTCGGCGGAGCAGGTGGGGTTAGGTAGCATAGTGCCGCATGGGCATCAGTCGTGGGCACAGTGCCGAGCACAGCAGCCGGTAACCCCTGTCCCGTCCCGTCCCGTCCCGGACGGCGTGGCGTTGATGCGACTCCCATCTCGTCGGTCACTCCGCTACATCGAGCCGTCGTTCGGCTGACGTCGTGGGGGTGGTTGGTTGCGTTAGTTGGACGTGACGTCCCGGTCGAGGCGGCGGTGACGGGGTAGCGGCCGAGCCAGCCTCGAGCGAGGCGGAGAATCGATATCTCGTCCGAGGCCTTTCGGGCGGGGCCTCGGGCGAGGGGGCCTCGGGCAAGGCGGAGAGTTGGTACCTCGTCCGAGGCCTTTCGGACGGGGCCTCGGGCGAGGCGGAGGGTTGGTACCTCGTCCTTGCGGCGTGGGCCTCGGGCGAATCAGAGAATCGGTCGAGGCCTCGTGGTTGTCTCTTGGCTTCGATATTTACAAGGTCTAAACATTTTTTTCGGTTCTTGCTTAGGGTACCTCTTTTTATGGTATCCGACATTATGAAAGTATTTCTCATGGTAAATTTAAATTATAAATCTTATGTCATGAATCTATTTTTTTTTCAAATCAATGGTCAAAGACACTCCCGTTGTCCCTGAATAAATAGATTTCTAGAGTTGTCTTAAATCAAAAAAATTAAACTTCTAGAAAACCCATCAAGACTTATGACATCAAATTAGTATCTTTAGATATACCATATAATATATTTTTATAATATACTTATTTTATGTCATAAATGTTATTACTCTTTTCTATAAAGTTAGTCAAACTTAAGATAGTTTGACTTGCACGGATTTTAGGAATTGATTTATTTAGAGATTGAGGGAGTATAAATATTTAACTTAGGATATGATATGTAAAAAAACAGAGTTAATTGTCTTGATCGCTTGGTTGATAAGCATGGCTGAAGGTACTGTTGGCTGATTTGTTGTGAGAGAAAAATACTGTTCGTTGGCTAAAAAAAGCACAGTGTCCTGATGACCATGAACCCTTTAAGTTATGTGTCAACAACACGTGGCAGTTCCGAGATACAGTATAAACTGAAAAATGTCCAAATGGATCTTTAAATGCGTTAGTTTTTTTTTTTGAATCTTTAAATGCGTTAGTTGCAACATCTTAGTTGGAGTGTCGTTAAGCCCCCAACACCGATTTTTCATTACACATCCGGGGCCCAGTTTCAACCTCCCGTCGCCCAGCTTGTGGACACGAGTAGAATCAATCAAAACAATATGCAGACTTTGCCCAGTTGCCGCTCTCAATGCATATCATCACTCCATAAATTTTGACATTGTTCAGCACGAGGTCAGGTTCAGACCTGTTCAAATTGCAGCTAAAGCACTGCAATGCATGCATCACTGACAGTTCTGATTCATACAGAACATGGCCATATGGCAGGAGCTCCGATTTCAGGCTGCAATCCAAGAAAGCCGATAAAGCTGTGGCCCTACGCCCAAGTGACAAGGTTGCATCAGGGAGGCCTTGACAAGTTGTCGCAGCAAGCTTACAAATGTAGCAAAGAACCAAGAACAGGCTAGAGAACAAGGCAAAAAAAATGAAAAATCGGAACCATGTTACATGGGTTGAAGGAGGCGCTGAAGGTTTCCGTTCAATTGGTGTTTTACATGCTACTGCACCAAGCACGAGTCCATGGTAACCCAGAGCCTTTTTCAGAATTCAGACAAGCATCTGCAACTCATACATGATGGTGCTGCTTTCAGCAACTCTTTGCCACAAGAACTTTCAGAGTCTGGTCATCTCACTGATAGATAGATAGTCTGAGAAAGTTGTAACATCATTCACCGCTCGTGAATTGACGCATCTTATATCTTATATATTAGCTAAAAGGATGGAGTGGTCAAACAGTAGAAAGCCACACCAAATCGCATATGAATCGAAGACCATCATTGGGTAATGTTCTTACTGTGACAGCAAGGTAGTGCTTCATCCTCTACGGAGATACAACTGACACATCTCCAGCTCATCATAATGCGGAACTTCGATTTTCCTGCTAAAAGGAGGTTCTACAGATCTTCATGACAAATGACCACCCAAGCATTTCGACAAAGGAGAGTCGAAGGACAGTGTCATTTCAGGGTAATGTCAAATATGACTCCTTCAAGATTTGAGATGGTTGTTCTTGTTCCATCCACTTCTTCAACACACAGTCCATGCTTTTCAGCTTCCTCGAGTACTAGCGCATCCATGCTGGTCATTAATGAGAAAGAATTAGCTTAATTAAAAGAATGCCCAAGTTTGTTACAGAACATTAGAATGAGAACTAACAAAAGTTAGAGATAGTCCATTCCTCCCCCCCCCCCCCCACACACACACACCGTCTCTTGTAATGCAAGCCTTTTTAACAGTACGTTCTGGACATACCAAATGATAATATAAACTACTGCAAGCCAGCCTGTGTATCCTGTTTGCTCATGAATGCAACTGGACACTCATTTTCTGCGCAAGTGCAATAGACAAACAATTGCAGAATATCTCTGACAGGTAACAAGCTGACAAAGAAATGGGTGACATACGAATTGTTTGCCTGTGATCCAGAAGGACTTCTGCTACTGTTTAGATCCATGAATGCCATTCTGAAGTAAAAATTTTGCAACGAAGTACAAACCTCTTCAATGTTTAGATCCATGGGATCCATGTTTTTTTTTTGAACGTAATGGCATGGGATCCATGGTTTATGGATTGATATAAATGTTTCAGTTAGTTGGAGATGCTACTTCTCCCTGTCTTGTTTTCTCTGAGGTACTCAGGCACATGTACTTCTAATTACAATTTTCTAATCTAACTGATGTATAACCTGACAAATTTTACAAATGAATAATCTCATTACAACTACCTTTTTTCTGTTAAGTGGTTCAAAACGCTGCCTCAAAAAAAAAAAAACCTTGACCCCTGGGGAAAGCCTCCCCCAAAATATTTCTTTAAGAAAAAAATCTCAAACACAGGGTCAAGAAAAGGCCACAAATCATAGCTATTAAATAGCTCAGGGAGTTGCCTTTTTTTTAGAACGGGGAGTTCAACTCCCGACCATAGGTCCAACACAAGCTCCCCTACCACTGCGCTATGTGCTCTTTCTCTTCAAAATGCTATGTCATGATGGCATTCTGTTAACTCAAGCAAATATAAATAAGTATAACCGGAAAATTAGAGCAAACCCAAAACCCATGGAAAATTGACACCTATCCTTAATCATGTACTAAACAAAGAGAATTCAAATTAGACATTACAAAATAATCAACTAAGAGGTCAACTGTAATTGATTACAGTTCGTCAATTGGGACAATCACTGAGTTGATCTCTGTAACATGGAAATTATGCTGAACAGTATTTGCTGAAATTTTTTATGTGCCAAAAAAAAAGAGAACTCATCTATTCAAATATAAATGGGGGAAGATAATAAAAGAGAAAATACATACACTTTAGTTCGGGATACATAAGCCAATATGAATCTGCATTTACCAGCTTGAATACGAACAATCTTCTCTACAGTATCAAAGAGGCAGGAAATGCTAGATTGCTGGAAGCTTTCTGCGAGTCAAGGTCCACAAACTGCAAGGATTGCTATATAACAAATGAATAGAAGAGAAAGACCAGAGCCTTAAAATAAAAATAGTTAAGTATGAAAATTTCAAGGATATAAATATCAGCTCCAAGAACAAGATCAAATCCACCAGGATGTTTTTCAATAATACCGCTTAAATGATCTGAGTTTCCCCACTCTAGTTTCTCGGCTGTCAACACTGCGATAGAACTACAATTATAGATCTCATTATCAAACATATTTCATTTTCTGTGAATGTTGAAGTTAAGGGGTGGCAACCTCTAACCTGCATGTGCTTTCTCAGAACATGACTGCAACTCTATGTTTTTCCTTATAATCTGCAAAGTCATTCTTCAGTATAAATATGTGGCACTTAAATTGAATAATAAGGAATGATGCAAGTATAAAAGGTAACTGCATCATTTATGTTCTACCACCCTTCTAGCACTTCATTCAAGACATAGATAGTACACTGGACACAAAGGTATGCAATGACTATTGCCATACACATGGCTAAATGTCCTTGTCTATCTGTTGTAAACTGTATGCATTTATCTACATATACAAAATTGCTAAAACTGAAGCAAAAGTCTCAATGGTACTTTGTTCAATAATTTCTATATGAAGCTAGGAGGTATCTGTGAATGAATTCCTAAAAAATTGAACCTTGCCTCCAGAACTTCATCATTGTGATCAGTCAAGACAACCTCCTTGCAGAAACGGCTGCACAATATGCCAGTAATGCCTACAGCAAGTCATAATATAGTCAGCTTTCATACGACCAAAGACTGAAGGGAGCATGGCAGCGAATTCTCTCACCAATCCCAGATCCTAGCTCGATTACTGAACATCCCTTCACAATTTCAGGGTGTTGAGATAAGTAGTTGTTCATCAGGACTGCCCCTGGCCACACTAACTGTCCAGTAAGATCAAAATCAGCTGCACAAATCATTAAGATGCATGTAAGTGGCGCTGCCATGGCAAGGAATCAATGGGAACAGGCATTATGTACTGTGAGGAATCCACCAACAGAACTTCTGTGACGTTGAGGCTTAAATAAAATCATCCATATCATCACAGAACTGGCGTAACAGAACTTTAGAAGCCAAGATTTATCTTTATGTTGACAGTTGGCTATAAAAGGCAAATGAAGGGATTGAATAAGACATAACAGTCATCTAGTGACAAGAATTTATAATATGACCCTTTATTTGTCTGATCACGAGGAATGTGAGGCTTTTGGTGTCCTCACGTAGAGTACTAGAATGACAGGAAGGATTCTCATATAAGGTAAGGCAAAAGTGGTCCTAAGTCACATGATTGTGTAATGAACATCCAATGTTACTGCTATGAAAGCCAAAATAAGAAAATGAACAAAAACACCTGTCACGACAATATCTCGAGCACCACTACATCAAGTAAAACAAGGCAGCAAGGCATGAAGCATATGCATACTGACTCCAGTAAGAGATGATTCAGCAAATGAAACAGCAAGCACAGAATTTATCACCGATAACTGCATCCACTGTACAAGCACTAAAGGATCAAACAGAACAGTTGTGTTGCAGGTAGAGATACCAAAAATGGGTGAACATATGAGCAGGAAAACACTGCATTCAATCAAACATGCCCAGTAACCCTCATACTAACTCCCCAGTACCCTTGTACTAGCTCCCCAGTTTCTCTTTCGTCAGCAACCCTCATACTAGCTCCACACTTTCTCTTCGTCAGCCAGAGGCTGGAATTTGTAATAATGGATGGTTGAGTCTTGAGTGCAAGACTCTTTGAAGCTAAAAAATGAGCTCCCCAGTTCAAGAAACTAACAAATGACCAGTAAAACAACTGCATCACCCATTTTCCAGAACACAAATCCATTACTCTCAAAGGTACGAAGTCTATGACGAGCAAGAAGCACTAACTGGAAGCGGCGCGGAGGCAGAGGAGGCGCAGCTCGTGGGACCCGAAGGTGAAGGTCGTCATCTCGTAGCTGCCCGCATCGGCGAACCCAGCAAACGAAACCAAATCCTCAGCTCTCCACCACGCTAGCACATAGAACGAATTACGGACGACGCGCATACCTGCGGTCCACGAAGAAAGACGGATCCAGACAGACGATGTCGTCCTCCTCTTCCTTCTCCTCCCGCTTCCTCGGGCTGCCGGAGTCCGCCATCGTTCACTGAACTTCTCGCCGCCGCCGCCGGCAACAATGACTCCTGCAGTGGAGGTCGCCGCGGCGTCACTCCAAACCTTAATCCACCTGCTGGATCGGGCCGCTGGATCGTGTTCTGGGCCCACGTAGCCACAGCCCAAAAAAATGGTCCGTGGGCTTTCAACGACACATCAAAAAGCAGAAGCTCCTTAGAGGGCCGAGAAACTCTTGTCAGAGAAATCAGTGGGCCATCCGGGATACATGAGGCCCGGACCGGCCCAGCCCAGCCAACGAGGAACGTTCTAGAGGGCACCCGAGAGGCCGGAGGCCGGCGGCGCGGCGCACGATCTCGCAGGGGCAGGCTCGTATTTTTTCCACTGCGCCCGCGTCCGTCCATAAAACCCTAAACCCCCCCGGCTGATCGGTTGGCGGTGAGGCGAGTGGAAGCTTCGAGCTTTTTTTTTCTTTGGCTTGCTGCGCAAGAAGGGGAAGGAGAGTAGGGCGGCGATGGCGAAGAGGCTGCTCCCGTCGCTGAACCGGGTGCTGGTGGAGAAGCTGGTGCAGCCCAAGAAGACCGCCGGCGGCATCCTCCTCCCGGAAGCATCCAAGCAGGTAGCACCATCGCCCACCCGACGCCCGTCCCCCATCTTGCTATTGTTGCTTTGAGTAGTGTAGTGGATTCAATTTGCGTGGATTGTCGGCTCGGGGGTGTTTAGATATGTTGTCAGGCAAGGTGTTCCGCGCCAGGTTGGGCGATTTGGATCGCTTTGTAGGTTGCGAATAGTTGGAAGCAGCTAAAAAATCCTCTCACGATGCTTCCTCCCTCTGGAGAAGTTAGTTCTGATTGGGTTGTGATTAGCTCGAGTGATTCAGATTGCTTGGTGTAGGCTGTGATTCTTGGTAGTGCTGTTACCTTAGCTATAACAATTTTACCCTTCAAGTAGCTATTATAATTTATATTTGTGAAATAGCATGCTTTATCGTTAGCTGCAGTTCCAAACAGTAAATGTCTCTGGGATTTCAGTAAGATAAACGAGTTGCTATATTGTTAAGTGCATAGCCAATTTTGTAGCTGAAATTATCCTGTGAAGGTAGCTATCAGCAATTCTATTTCGTTTCACGCTTTTAATTTAGCATGCTTTCAATGGCTAGTTGCAGTTTTACACTTTTTTTATAATAATGACTTTTGGATAGTGTTGGTGTTCAACTGGGGAAACGAATTAGCTTATGTTTTTGAAGTTTGCATTAGTTCACTGTTTGATAATGTTTCTGTGGAAATAGCCTTCTGAAGTCTCTTAAATAAATATTTGACTTTTGTTTTCTCTTTCGACTTATTAATTAGTATTCAGCATTGTATTTGGGTGTGTTCAACTGGAGAAACGAATTATTGTGGCTGTAGAATCAATTCTCTGCTTGACAATGTTGCTCTTGTTGCAGCTGAATGCTGCTAAAGTGGTGTCTGTTGGCCCTGGTGAGCGTGACAAGGCAGGCAATCTGATCCCAGTTGCTCTGAAGGAAGGCGACACTGTTCTTCTGCCTGAGTATGGTGGAACTGAAGTCAAGCTTGCGACTGATAAAGAGTTAGTGAACCGTTCTCTGTGCTTGAAAACGTTGCTGTGCTATACTACTATTGCCTGATTAATCTCTCAATTAGGCACCATAATATCCAAACTGTTGCAATATTTAAATTTGCCTTACAACTGTATCATTTTCTGTTTTATGAAATCATCCAGATATGCTGAACCAACACAAACCCATGATATGATATGGAATCATGATAGCAACTGTTTTAACTGTGTCAAATGTTGTATTGTTGTTGAATGCTGTGCTGGATACTGCATGCCAACCATGCTTTTTGTGACTAGATAAAAAAAAACATGATGTATCTTAACCTTTGGTTGCTAACTGGCAGCACAATCAGTTGTGGGTCGCAAATACCATGTCAACTGGTTGTTGGATTTGTTATCATTCAAGTTTTTTTTTTCTGTTTAATGCCATTTCAATTCTTTCTCTGGTACTTGATCTGAGCCCTCTTCTGAAAAAAAAATTCAGGTACCTCCTCTTCAGAGAGCATGACATTTTGGGCACACTTGTGGACTGATTCAAATCATCAGCAAGCCTGTCACTAGTCTTCGGTTCTAGTGTGAGATGCGCAGGATCTGATGCCGGCAAAATCGATGACAAAGAACTATGAACTGTCGTGATGTCATAGAATTTGTGGTGAAACATCATAACGATAAAACTTTTTGCTTGCCTTTTGTTGCGATGCAACTGAGGAAACTTTGGCTTTTGAAGTGGTTCCCTTGAATATTTTGTTCCCCTCCGTGTCCCTGGCTGTTCATGGGATTTATAGTACTTTTTATTAGGGTGCACGGGGTCGATTACTTGTGGACTTTGCACAATCCATCAAAGGCGATGTTGGCATGCTGCTATTTGATCGTCGATGCTGGTTAGGGACTTGCCTGTTTGGCTTCCTAGTTCCTACCGTATGCTGCCACGGCAAAGGTTCGGCCGCGCCGTACCGTAAGTGCGGCGTACAAAAACAGGGCCACACTTCAGCTGCAAAAAATGAACTATTGGTGCCTAAGCAGGGTGTGACATGCCACAGCTTTGATCTATGAACCAAAAGTTAGCTAAAGTAGACAAGGTGAGGCGCGGTTTGACCTGTGGCAACCTTTTGGTAATGAACCTCTTTGGTAACGCCCTAAGTAAGTAAGACAAGATGAGGCGTGGTGTGACCTGTGGCAGGTAATGAACCAAACAGGCCAAAGATGTCCACGCCCAAAAACGGCGTCACACTTTAGGTGCAAAATGAACTACGGTAAGCAGGGTATGGCACGCTGCAACTTCGATCGTGAACCAAACGTTAGGTAAGATGAGGTGTGGTGACCAACCTCTGGTAATGAACCAAACAAAACAGGCCACTTGCAATGTGTGCGCTGTGCCGTTGGATTGGTACATGCTCATCAATATCAATATGCGTGTTGATATATCTGATGGTGATTCTTGTGCCTGAAAAAAATGTACATATGGGTTTCTCGATCAAAAAGAAAAAGAAATGTATATGTGGGCTGTGATTGCACTGTAACCTGTTGGGTTTCGCCATGGTTAGTTTTAGAAAATTTAACGAAAATTCTCAAAATTGGAACTGTAACCAATTTTTTCCATCGCCAATGTTTTCTCAATAAACAGATAGGTTTGGGCATTCTTGGTATTTGGTTTCAAAGCTTCTTGAAAAAAAAAGGAGTAATTGGTTCCCTTTTATAAAATTTAAAAAAGATACAACAAATACAAGTGCAAACACAGAAAAACGTATATTAGTGTACAAATGGACAACTTCAAACGTTTATCTGAAAAAACAATTGTAGCTAACTAAAAAGGGATATCTACTGTCTGCACACAACACATGTCAAGGGCCTAAGTTTGCCAACGATCAAAATCTCAACAGCATCAACAACTTTCCAGGATCATTTGGCACCTATAGATCCTTGAGCAGCATCTATCTATTGTTCATCATCAGCTCTCATATGCGCTCAGAAACTTCTTAGCAGCATCCAAATTCAACTCTCTGTAAACCTGCAAGCACATGGGTCAATTCCAGAAAATAAACTTTAGCATGTATGAATAGTTGTTGGTATTAAAATGTCGAATGAGGGAGGCAACAGTACAAGTTTCTCATGAGCTTCTTCAAATGCCTTGCAGAAGAACTCTGCCTTTGTCGCTCCAATCTGCCATAGTGTGAGGCAAAACAATTTATTAAACCACCAGAAAAAATGTGTGCTTCAACTTGCCAGATAGTTAATGCTACCCAAATATGTATTCCAACAAAGATGGCAAGCGATAAACACAAATATGGTATCCATGAGAGTACTGGCAGCGTGCACCAACCATACAATACTACCCAAATATATAGTCCAACAAAGGTGGCATGTGATAAACAGAAATATGGTATCCACGATAGTTGTGGCAATGGTGATGCTACTGTCAAGATCAAATGGTAGACTAACTAACAGGCAAAAAGCCAAAAGACCAATCAATTTTGCCTAACTTCTAAAATGAACTTCCCATGAACAACCACAGATTGTAAAGCTTTTACGACAGCTTTTTGGGTATACATTGAGACTGATTTCACTTCAGTAAAACTACCAGAATGAGGCAAAAAGAAAATAGAAAAATGGGCCACACAAAAAAAAACATGAAAAAGAACAGCTTGTACTTTGACAACCTATACCAAAAGCTTGTCAGCTCCTAGCCAATCCTCCAATAGCATTTCTCTCAACCCTCAGCCACTTACCAACAGGAGCTCCATGGGCATAACCACAAAAGACTTGGGTCACAACTTCAGTGGTGAACAGAAAAGAGCGTGGTACAAAGGAGTAGGCTACCAACAATTGGCACTGAGATAAAGCATGGCTTTAATGGAGATATGAGTGGTATTTTCCTATAAGTTTGGGTCTTCTGGTGGTATTTAACTGAACAGGAGATATTCAGCAGAATTTTTCAAACTTCAGATATTCTGATATATGGAGCCACGGTTTTGTGTGCCCCCAAATTATTTTTCCTCTTCCTCAAACAACAGACCTAAAAGGCACGCAACATTACTCAAAGCTCTCAAAAAACGTTTTACACCATTGTATTGAGCTGTTAGCTTCCTGATACTGGAAAAGAAATATGTGTACTTTTTTCTCCGCAGCCATCTTCAATTTCTGCATAAACATATCTGTGAAAAATGCAAGAAAATTAGTGACTATTCTACTTCGCTATGGCATATCGGAGCATAATTAGATCTATTATATAATTGTTAGTGAAATGCATAACCAAAGAAAGTGTATCATTTGCCATTACTGCAGTGCCAAAGCTGTCATTCCCATTCATTGGTGGGCATTTACTAATGGCCTCAATTCATTGAAAAAAAAAAGAGTGGACACCCTACAGAAGAACTATTTGTCACTCAGTAATTGGTGCAGAAAGCACATCTTAGTGTCACTTTATTCCATTGCTTAACTGCTCAGTCCTTCATATCAGATATGTAAATAGGTCTATTTTGTGTGGATCAATTTTGTATGATAGCAAATGATGGATTGTGTGGTTGCAAGTCACTTTGATGTTATAGAAAGTGATGATATTACTGCCTTTTATTGATTTTCACAGAAAAATAAAGGACGAGTAAAAGAAACTACAGATGATGACAGTAAGTTGCTTGTGGACCCAATTTGTAAAAACATATCCAAATGAGTCAGGTCTCAGGTGAAAAGAAGTTGAATTCGGCTGTAACCAGTTGTAGACTGTAGTTATCAATATCTCAATTGTCTGATAGGGAGCAAATCCATGAAGAATGTTGCGCATTCACAAAATCATAACCGACCATGGATATGACAAATTACGTTCAGGACACATGCTAAAGTCCTAAGTCTAATGATTCAACTGAACAGGGATGAAGAGGGACATCAGCCTTTGCCTCTACAACAATAATTGCCAAGGATGGGTTTCACACATAAGGACACAGTTGGGCATGGCAATTTTGGGTTTAGCAATAGTTCTTCTAATCTAAATCTATTGAGATAACAAAAAACTATCGTCTGACATACCTTGTGCAGCGAATGAGTCATTATTGCCCTTCGTTGCCTCCTGCAAGCGATAGCTTCATTAGAAATAGTTAACAGGTATAATCAAGTAGCACCTCGATAACTAAATCAAACACACCTGAACTCGTGATCGCTGTCTAGTTCCTCTGCTGGATGCTCCAGAATCGGCCTACATTTGACACACACAAAAAAATGCATCAGTTCATGCTCAAAAGGTCTGCAAACAGGAAATAAGAACTAACCATATTTATTCAGTTACTTCTGCAAAGGGACATCTACCACAATTGCTTAAGATTCCATATCAATGTGCTTATAATACATTGCTCTTTGTTCTGGTTGAACCCACTTTTCTATTTAGATAAATGTGCAGCACCACAGTCCCATGTGGCCATGCCCCCATGTAATACTCTCTCAACCACAAACCTTGAACTCAAACAGAAACAAGCATTCATGACATTGCGTGACTACGTGTAGCTCAAAACAGAGATGACAAGGACTTTGTCAATCTACCAGAAAGTTTGTCACTAATATTTACCCACTTTAAGAGGCCAACAATAGCCTACTTTCTTAAACGGCAGGGGAAGCACGGTGTAACACTAATATTAGCCTTCTTATCTTGAGGGGCAAGAAGCAACACACTAAACCTGGAACCCCTTGTTATAAGCATTCCGACTATTATTGGGCAGGACTGTGAAGATATGTATCATTCCCATTCCGGAGGGGCTTTCTTTGTTAATAAAGGGAGAAAATGAGTAATCCCCCTTTACCCAAAAGAAGGGGAGGAAAACTAGGGTGTTCACGGCACATGGATAAAATTCGCTTCTCTTTTTCTTTTTTTCGTTGCAGTATTGCATCCAACAAAAGTCGTAACGTAGATTTTGTTAAAGGGTGCTAATGTGTTATCACCTTCAATACATCCTATGACCAAAGGCTACATTACATATCCCTCTACTGCAACTACTTATGCAAACATCGAGTTGATTTCGGAACCCGGAGCAGCACTCAGCCAACAGTGTGTGTCGCAACAGGAGATCGGGTCACCGGAATCGACAGGAAGGCCGATTAGAGACTATGCTACCCCGAATTACCAATCGAGTTCCACGCCACAGATCGCGGCTTGGGACTTGGGAGGTCGGGGGGGTTGGAGGAGGAGGTTTACGCAGTAGTCCCGGGTGCGGACGACGGGGAAGAGGTCGAGCATGCCCCGGAACTCCTTCTCGTCCATGGTGGGCGCCGGCGCGACGTCTCCGGCGACGGGCTCAGGGCTCCAACCACGCCGATGTGGATGTGGACTCGCTAGAGAGAGAAGATGGATTGGATGAGTCCACGAACGCTTCGCTTCGACTCTCACCACATGGGCCGGGTGACTCGTGAGACCAGCTGGCCCAATGCATCTAAGGCCGGGCAAGATACTAGTGGGCCGTCAGCTTCTCGCCGAAAGACCACCAATGCTTTTAGCAACGAAACACTCCACGTTACATCCTTCGACTTTTGCGAAAATCTACTTTTCCTCTGGTACTGTAAAATCGGGTAAACCACATCCGGAACTTTTAAAACCATTCATTTTATAAATGGTTTTTAAAAACGGTTTTATCTTTATCTTTTTTATTTATTTCGGCTGAATTTTTGAAAAAAATCATAGTAAATCATAAAATAGAAAATCAAATTGTGTTAGACTTAACATGAGTAGATCTACACAGTGAATATATAATATTATATGTTTTAGTATAAATTTTTTGTTATAGCTTTAGATCTATGCTTTTCTATAATTAATTCATAGCTGCAGTTTTTATGGTCCAATTGTGATTAAATTTGTATGGTGGGCTAATTATTATATGCTTGAACTGTAGTTAAAATTTCATACTCATCTGATCATACGCAATACAACCCACCGAAAGACACAGGACGTAGGGTATTATGCCAAGTCGGCGGCCTAAACCTGTCTAATCGTTGTCTCTTGCATTCTGTGTCACTGTCCGGTTCCCTCACGCACATCTCCACCGATTCATCTACTACCGTAGGCATACCCCTCGGTAGACTGCCAACTAGATTTTGTCGACAGTGATGCGCCAGGTAAGGGGTGTGCGTGCTGAATTCATGGCAAACCAGATGGTCACCTTTCTGAGCTCCATGGCCCTTCCTGAGCCGGGCCAGATCTTCACAGTCGGATCCATGACCTAGATCATCGACCGCGACGGCAACGAGGAGATCGTGGAGGCGGTGCAGGATCACCCTGCGCCGATCGCGCCAACAACTGCAACGACATCTCTGATCCCGACGCCCCACCGCTGGGTTAGGAGATCTATCAGCAATGATGATCTGATTGCATCCATTGATCGGGTCACAGACCGCTTAACGGAATGTTAGCTCCTCGTGGATTCGGTCTTATAGATCAATCTAGAGCGAGTGACAATTTTCCTGCACTCCAAGATCACCAAGCCGCTGCGATCGAGCGACCTGCTCGGCCACACCATTCGAGGCGGCCAGATTCCGATCTAGTGATCACGGCTGCTCCAGAGGGGAGCACGGTGTGGCGCCGACCACTTCCCGCTACCGGCCTACGCTTGGCCACCTACGAGGCCCTGATGGAGAACCCACCGAGGCCCTATCCCTTTGGGCTAGAGGGTGCCGGATCTGCGTACCAGAATGCCGTCCACCACCTCTTCGTCGACCACATCGAGCGCGACCACGTCACCGACCTCTACATGATCGACCGACTAACTCCGGTGAGCCCGCGCCCGTGGTGGCTATTCGCCAGCTCTCGGATGATTCCCCTCTTTCGATCGAATCTCTCCACAACGTTCTGAACGAGAGCCCCGATGATTATTCCGAGGGCTCAACCAAGACCATATCAAGCTACCCTACTTTCCCTCTGGGGTTTAGGGGCATGATTTTCCACGTCAGCCACGAAAGCATCACCAAGGATGGCGAAACCGCTGAAGAGCACAAAGCTTGTCTAGCGAAGAACGCCGATCGCCAACGTCGCCAAGATGCAGAAGTAGCCCAAAGAGCCAACGAGGATGGTCGTGGCCCGGCCCGCCATCAACGTAATCTGGAAGAGGCATTTGACATGGTGGGTGACCAGCCAGTCTACCAGACTCCAAGCGCCAATCTAGCCATTTCTTTCAATGAGCTCAACAAACTCCCTCACACTCCAAAGGTCGAGAAGGTCCGAGCACATATCATAGCCACATAAGTCCAAGTCAATGAGTTCCGGACCACACATATCATAGCCCATCTTATTCCACCACGTCAGCTCATAGCCACCGCTCTCGCCATGACAAAGGAGGCCGGCATCACGGCGCCAAGGGCCCCCGACCTTAGGCTAGAGGTCCCTACCTCTATAGATGATCCAAAGGCAACTATAAAGCTCATTCACGCCACGCCGGCCGCCCTCCATGCCCCTAGGGAGGTCAGGGTGGCAACCGCAACTAGGAGGTCAATCAACCCCTCTCTCACAACCTTCGTGACCACATCAATGCCAACGTAGATGTCCACGGTCGCATCGAAAACAGCAGGTCCACACGCTACACAACAGAGATGGAGCGTCGCCGGTATTTCGACGAAGAACATGAGGGATTTGCTGCCCGTCAAGCACCACTCCCTGCCAATGCATCAGGACTTCGCCCCTTCATGGAAAGGCTCCGAGCTATCCGATGGCCTATGGGTTTCAAGGTTATTGGTGTTAACACCTATGATGGAAAGACCAACCCAGCTCAGTGGCTAACTCCATACGAGATCGTCGTGAAAGCCGCTGGCGGAGACGAAGACATCATGGCGTACTATCTTCCCATAATGCTTAACCAGTCTACAAACAACTGGCTCCTCAGCCTATGGGAGAACTCCATGCGATCTTGGGATGACCTCAAGAAAGTCTTCACCGACAATTACATGGCTACGTGTGAGTAGCCTGACACCAAGTATGACTTGGAGAAGCTTCATTAGTCCTCCAGGGAGTCCCTGCGCGACTTCATCAGGCGCTTCTTGGAGACAAGAAATTTTGTTCCCATCATCACTAACGCCGAGGCCATCACCGCTTTCACTAAAGGGCTCTAGCACAAGCAGCTTCATGGCAAGCTGTATCGCAAGAGGCCCACAACCATCGGCGAACTAATACAAACACCAAACGGATACACTAACGTCGAAGAAACCAAACAGGCTGCCCGCTCCGCTCAGCACCAGTGCCACGACGATGACCATCGTGAAGATAGGCACTACGACGACCACGACTGCCGTAAAGATGACCGCGAGCCCCGGTGTGACGACCGCCTGGATAGCTCGAGAGGCAGACAAGGCTGCCATCGCTAGCCTGATAACTCGATCAACACTGTCAATACCCATGCTAAGTGCACCTACGACGCTGACTTTAGCAAGCTGTTGGATGCCCCATGCCCTATCCACAAGGATGCCAAGCACACCATGTGATAGTGCAGAGGCCTGAAGACAGCGCTCGGTGGCGAATCATAGAAGAAGACACAGCGTGATGACGATGAGACCGAAGATGATCAAGACAGAGAACAAGGCAAGAACAAGGGTCCCACCTACCAGGACCCTACCAAGACCATTGCCACCATCTTTGGTGGGAGAGCTATCTCTAAAGACAAGCGGGAGCAGAAGCTTGTAGCCTGACATGTCATGTCGGTCGCTACATATGACGGCCCCGTCATTGATCCCAAGTACCTTGACCGGTCGAGCACTCGATCACCTTCTCCAAGGCCAATCAGTGGTCGTACATCCCATACCTAGGGCATTTCCCACTCGTCCTAGATCCCATAATCAAGGACGTACGCTTCCAAAAGGTCCTCATCCATGGAGGAAGCGCCCTCAACATCCTCTTCATCGGATCTCTGGAGGAGCTAGGGCTCAAGAAGGAAGACCTCACCCCCATGGACTCTCCATTCTAGGGAATTGTTCTCGAGAAGGCGTCCCTATCCTTAGGATAGATTACACTGCCAGTTCAGTTTGACACCACCAAGCATTTTCGCTTCGATTACGTCAACTTCCTCGTCGCCGATTTCAACATGGCGTACCATGCCATCCTCGGCCGACCAACTCTTGCCAAGTCCATGGTCGTGCCGCACTATACGTACCTGGTGCTAAAGATACCGATGGAGCAGGGGGTCCTCTCCCTGCGCACCAACCTTGATGTCGCCTACAACTGTGAGAAGGAAAGCTTCGCGCTCACTGAGGCAACTGACATCTCCATCCGCATGCAGGACTACATTGTGACTCCGCAGCAGATCTCTCTGAAGGACCTAGAGATCCCAACCATGGAGGCCGCCCGAGCATCAACCAAGTCCAAGGAGGTGAAGAAAGTGGCCCTCGTCCCTGGTGACTAGTCTAAGACTACTCAGATCAGGGCCGGCCTTGAACCTAAATAGGAAGACACGCTCATCAGCTTCCTAAAGGAGCATGTCGATGTGTTCGCATGGAAACCTGTGGACATGCTCGGCGTGCCTCGGGAGCTGATCGAGCACTCCTTAAACGTCTCGGCGACCACCAAGCCGATCAAGCAGAAGCTTCGACGATTCACGTAGGACAAAAAGGACGCCATTAGGTGGAAATAACCTAGCTCTTAGTTGCCAGTTTTATTAAAGAGGTGTATTATCTAGAGTGGTTAGCCAACCCAGTTCTTGTAAGAAAAAAGAATAAAGAATGAAGAATGTGCGTTGATTATACCGATCTCAACAAACACTACCCTAAAGACCCCTTCAGCCTTCCTCGAATTGATGAGGTCATAGATTTTACAGCCAGTTGCGAGCTCTGTGAGCTCCTGTGCTTTTTAGATTGCTACTCTAATTATCACCAGATCGCGTTGAAGAAAGAAGACCAGATCAAGACGTCATTCATTACGCCCTTCGACGCCTACAGCTACATGACCATGTCCTTCGGGATCAAGAACGCGGGTGCGACTTATCAAAGAGCCATCCAGCGCTGCCTCAAGACCAGATCAGGAAGAATGTCGAGGCTTACGTCGATGACATGGTAGTTAAGTCTAAGACTGCTGACACCTTTATCGTCGACCTCACCAAAGTTTTCAAAGCCCTAAAAGTATACCGATAGAAGCTGAATCCCACTAAGTGCATTTTTGGCCTTCTATCCGGTATCCTGCTAGGAAACATCATCAGTGGCCGCGGCATCAAAGCCAACCCCAAGAAGATAGATGTGGTGACCAACATGAAGCCACCGACCTGCGTTAAGGATGTCTAGAAGCTAACGGGGTGC